CTCACCTTTAGAGAGACCAGATATCCTAACATCCATGTTTCTGGAATGTGGAAGAAAACTGCGGTACCCACATAAAACCCACTCATTCAGAGGGAGAATATGTAACTCAGTTTATTTCTATAGCAGCAGTTCACAGCATGTCCTCTGAAGACCCTTTGCAGAAACAGTTCAATCAGATGATCCATCAGTTTGGTAAAAAGTTTTCTTTCCAGTAAACACCAGTTGATTCCATCCAGCTTTTCCTCATTGGTGAGTTTGGGTGACAGTAGACATTCACTGTTTCGTTGAAGTTACAGAGATTCTTCACACCAAGCATGCATGCAGGAACAGTGGAGAGTAAAAACTTAAGGATGAGTTAAGGTGGCCGTCTACAAACAGCATTTAGGGAGTTTAGAGACAGAAGCAGACACAAAAAACTAACTCAGAAGCACTGATCTATGAATACTTTCTATGTAAGGAAAGGTAACAAAAAGATCCAGATTTGGACTCAAACTCAGGATGTTCTTTCTGTGAGCTTTACCTAATTTACTCTCCCAAGTCAAATTAATTAGGAAAGTGAGGTATTAATTGAGGAAGCCTTTAAACTTTATCCATGGTGGACTTAAAATATATTTATTTTTATTTGGTAATATTTCCAGAAAGCCCAGTCTGCTCCAGTTGCCTTTTTCCTCCAGGATTTGGCAAAATGAGGAGTAATCCTCCACTGTAGCACTTTATTCTGAGCAGATACTTTTTATTCTATTCAGTTTATTTCTATAGCGCCAATTCACAACACGTCATCTCAGGTCACTTTACAGAGACAGTTCAAGAGAAACACACAGTCAGAGAAACAGGACTACACTGGAAAACAGGCCAAGCTCCAACATCTAGAAACAAAGGCTATTCTTAACAAACCAACATACTGAATGCTTTATTCTGTTTTGTTTTGGCTTATTGTTCTGTTTGTCTCCTTTATTTATGCCCACAGACAATGAGACCGCGGTCTACATCCTGGTGCCAATGGTCATGGCTGACCAGCATCGGTGAGTGTCCATCTGAACGCCACACGGAAGACGATTCCCCAACACAGAGTTGATGTTTATTTCTCTCCTTTCTCTGAAAGATCTGTGTCAGAGCTGCTCCTTAACTCCAACTTTGATGTGAACTACGCCTTTGAACGAGTACAGAGGAGTTTACTCCACATCGCTGCCAAGTAAGACTCTGCCACTCTGTTTTCATTTCAGTGGAAAGGAGAAAATGCATCTTGATGTTAGCGAAGGACAATTATTCATTATCTTTTTTTTAAAGACGTGTTTCCCAGTCTTAGATATGATTGGCTGAGCTGCGTTCCATGCTGTTGTTAGGATTATTCTTATTGATGACGTGTGAGTCTGTTTATCCCTAACATTACCTGCCTGTCAGAACTGTTTCCCAAATAGTTTCTCTAATGAGGACAGTTCCTCTGTCCAGATATACGGTTAGAATCTTCATTCTGCGAGGCAAAGATATGGGAATGGAATGAGACGGTGTCATTGATCTAAGAAGTGTAATATTTTGATAAGGCTGGAGCCATGGACACCTCCTCATCTCCTCAATGTTCTGCTCATGGAGGATCTCCTCAATGTTCTTTTTTCTGTTTGGTGTGATTACACCTGGCGGAACCAGAGCAAAAAATAGCTTGGCTCCGTATTTTAACGGTGGCGGACAGAGAAGACGTACATGGACGATGACGTGCGGAGGAGTAGCAGTGGATGTGGAACAGTTCCTCTTGATTAGCATGACTGCGCAGGACATACGTGAGCAGGGCGGGGCGGTGAAGGAGGATGTAGAATCTGCGGGTTATAAAGCACCTCGCCATACCGTCACATACTAACATTAAGCTAACAATTGCCCTATTAAATGAAGTAATTACATTAACAAGCCCAGATAGTTTGATGACAATTGATGACTAAATCTAGCCTGGTGAGACCATCCTGATCTCGCGAGCTTTCAAGGTTTCACTCGCAGATCAGTCTGGAGACTCTCCGTT